GTGAGGGGGAGATTTTAACAACACGTTCCGTAATTTTTCCGGAACTTTTCGTAAAAATTCTTAAACATCCAAGAATTTTCATGTTCTGAGGCATAATAAGTCTTGAAGTTTCTGTTAGATTTTACAACTTCCAGAAAAATTACGTGACTTTTTCGTATTTTTTCGGTGACAGACCCGAAAATTTACTGAACGTTTCAGATTTATTCTCTTATATTCCTATAGAAATTCACTGAAAACGATTCTCGCTTGCGGATTACGTGAAATGTTCCGTAATTTTTCTTGAATATTTCTCTCCGTGTACCTCTTCGGAATGAAAATATCTTTTTTTTCAAGGGAAGTTTATCAAGAAATATCATATTTCATCTCTAAGATACAATTTGTTTTGTTCAGACAAGACTTTTTTTTCTCAGAAAAAAACTTTTTTTTCTTTTTTTCGATTTATTTTCTTCGAATCAATGTTTTTTTCACAAAAAAAATTGTTTTTCTCAAATACCTTCTCTTTAAAAAAAAATTGTTTTCTCTCCGAGGAAATTTTTGTTTTCTCAGTATTGTTAATTACCAGTCAAGCTTGGGATAATGCGCGCTTGTAATCGATGGTATGAATATTCCTCAGCATTATAAGAATTCTGATAATAGTAAGCCGGGGCTGAAGACATTTCAGCCACCAACTTTACTTTTTGGTCGATTACAGGCCTATAGAGCGTATTCGTGATATGCTGGAATGAAAAATAATATAATTGTCATGTACCAATCATCATCCATTGAATTAACACATGAATGTATTCTGATGAACTCACATTTATGGCTTGCGTTACCAATTCAACGGGCAATTCTGATATATGCTTGTGCAAGACCTTTGACAATTCATCATAGAGATGCGTTAGTTTCTCCTGCACTGGATGATGGCAGCCCGCGAACTGCTTGAGAGCAAGTTCTACGTACCAATGTAAATTTTGCGTACCTGAGAAGAACATTGAAAATCGCAAGCAGTTTCGAGAAGGAAAATTGAACATATTATTTAACAATTTTTTCTTCCTTTTCTTTCAACATCAAATTCATTTTCTCTATCTCGTAAATAATTATGAAAAATTCTCACTAGTAGTGAAAGAAAGCATTTCATCCCGCATGAAACCACTCATGAAGGGGACTTGAGCAAAACTTCCAGCTTTATATTTCTTGATGGGACATTCCGTTAAGAAGGCGTCTACACCAGCCACTCTAGCATCTTCGATTATTGGTTTGAACTTGCGATCTGCCTGGGAATTGATAGATAACGATAGGAATTTTTAACGATTAATCGATGCGGGTGCTTCTGCTTATGAAAATATTTCATAGATAAACCTAGCGAATGCAGTAGAAAATTCAATCCAATTTCTTCTGAATTTTCTCTTAGTGTTTGGCCGACTCTATTGAAAAATTTTAGTATAATATAACTTATTTGCGTGTTTTTTAAATAGAAATGTTCAATGAAAAATCATCTATAGAAAACATCCATAGAATTCGATTTGAAGCCTCCGGGAATTCCTCGGCTCAAATTTCTTAGGTTTTCTTGTTCAATTTTTTTATGAAAAAAGAACAAAAATAAAGATGAAAAAACTTAGAACATTAATATAGAAATTCGTATGGAAAACCATCTCAATAGAAAAAGTTGTACAGAAAGATGAGATTCTACTTATTTTTCCAACAAAATGCTTTCAATTGAACATCCTATAAAAAACGCCCAGTAAAGCTGTCGAATTCTTCAATAAAATCAACCAAAATTTAATACAATGTTAAAAAGAAATTCAATAGAAATACGATAGAATTTTCCATCTAATTCGCTGTTTTTTCATGACATTTTTTTCATTCGTGCTAAATCAATGCATAATAATATACATGTATCAAATTCGGTAACAATTTTTCGCCTCCAGTCACCAAGTCCTCAGGCGTTTTTTTCATTAATTCACGATAGAGCGTAGTTTTATCCTCCGTATCAATTCCTAGGACTTTCCCGAGATGAAAGGCACGAGTCTCACTTTGATTTCGTGTCAAGAAGGTCCAGGCACTCCAGGGAGCAGAACTCATTGCTATAGCTCCGTGGAATAATCCTGAAATTATGGAAGAATTCATCTCGCAAAATTAGGTCTCTTTGATTCTGGTTCGCATGATACAGTTATAATCCGCGATGAATGAAGACACAATACTAATTAACTCTCGGTCACTTGCGCTCGGCTGCGAGCCTTCATCCGTGCCACGGTTAGCGCAGCGCCGCGGGGTTAAATCGAGCGCGCTGTTGCCACCTTGGCGCTTACCGCTATGCGCGCCTTTCAAGTATGGCAGCGAATATAGCAACACTGTCCCTCGCGGGGCCGACAGAGACTCACTCGTACCGGGCGGCGCGACGCCGCTTTTCAGTCCATTCGACGTTTCTTTTCTTTTTTTAGTTAAACAAATTTGCCGAGAAAAAACGGACAACGCCAACAGTTAGTAAAAGGATTGAACTAGGAACGCTAATTTTTTTAGATTTTTTAAGCTTCGATAAACGTAATAAACTAAAATATAAAAAAAATGAAAACGGGCGGTGCCGTGCTCATTAAGCGAGTGATCGAGGGTTAATCAGATGGTTGGGGCGGTTTGTTAATTAGACACTAAAAGAGAATATGACCAAGTGTCTTGCTCAATATCTCCAAAGATAGAATCGAATATCGATGTTACAGGGAATCCTCCCTAAGGGTAACGGTTTTTCATTCGCATACAAATTTCTCGCGACAAAATTTCAAAACCGAAAACAAGTTTTCCAGCGATAACTGTATTGTTGACATCTGATCTGCCGGCAATTTATTCTTGGAATATTGTATCCGTTGATAAGTTGTCTGTTATTTCCTGAGTTTACCATTTCGGATGATAAAGTAGCCAGCGAGGGTTTCCGATGACCCCCTCTTATCGATTTGAATCAAACTCACTACTTCGTAATGTATCCCTATCTGTATTATCACCGCAGATGAAGCGAAACGAATGCTTAAATGCGTAGAATTGCAAATTAATTTCCCCTGTATTTATGAGTTAATTTGCACGTAAGTGAATAGTATAATGTATATTCATAAATTAACGAGAATATCGTGCATTTATGAAAGCATTGTAATTTTATGTGAAACGTTTGTTTTGTGTGTTATCAAATTGAATATTGCGGCTTAAATGTGCTCTATGAATTCTGAGTACTGTTTTTTGCTTCTTTGCACTTTAAATACTTTCAGAAGGAGATGAAATTTGGGCCTCGGATATAATGGATGTGGAGAAATTTGTGCTGGGAAAATTGTCAACTGATAAATTGTCGGTTATTTTGTCGCGGAAATTTTATCCGCGGATGAAATGTTACAGAACCAGTGCTCGCCCGCGTGAGTTCTTCTTCTTCTTCTATTTGTTATAGTTATATCCTGACTCAAAGATAGAGAGACAAGCACCATTACTCCTCCGAAGCCCGCGTAAATTCTCACTGCCCCACCGCGCGAGGAGAATCGTTCCCCCACCAGTAGATTCCCTGGCTTTTCCCCCACCGACGGCCCTACTTGCGTCTCTCCAACTGCAGCGCTATTGGTCTCTCACTGCCAGGAGTGGGGCGCCAGCGTAAGTGCTGGTTAGGAGAATTCTAATCCCCGGAGCTAAAGAATTTAGAAGGGCTCGCTGGACCCAAAAGATAGTCTTTATCAAGGGGACTTCTTGATGTCCTCCAGGTGATAGACAATTGAATTAGGATTCGAGGGGGATATGCAACAATACACTACCTCTCGAAGCGTCTGAAATCATGTGGAGATCAACATCAACACCACCAGAGCTGCAGCCGAATATCGTCACCCTGTTCGGATCACCTCCGAATTTTTGAATATTCCGTTGAACCCACTTGAGCACCAGAACTTGATCCTTCAGTTGGAGATTTTCAGATGCTTCGGGAATATTCAGTGCCAGGAAACCTTGACAAAATATTCCGCACGTCAGATATGTCTTCTCGACATGTATCAGAACAAGGCTTCTTTTTAATCTACCTAATATATCCAGACGAAAATTGGCAGCCACCATGACGACATTCTCTTCGAGAATAAAATCAGGACCATAGTATGAAGCATTAGCATATCCTGTCGCGAACTTTCCACCGTGGATCCATACCATCACCGGTAGTAGATCGCTTGACGAGGTTTCATCATAATTTACCTGCAGGGACAGAAATTCTTTGAAGAATTTTACTGCACGTACGGCAAAAGGGAACAGCCAAGAAAAAAATCCAGTGCTGGCACTGGAATTTTCTCATGAATCCTCAGAAATTTCATCATAAATCTTTATAAATTATATCGGAAATAACCAGAAATTTTCTTCAACACCACAAGAATTGTTCAAAGTTTTTTAAAAAACGTACTTGATGCATGCGCGCAGTGGTTTAAGTAAACACTCGTGGGCATTTGAAGAGCACCAAGTACGTTTTTTTCTTGAACATTATTTTTCTTTTGTTTTTCAAGTTTCCCCTTCTTTTTCCTTTTATTTCCTTTTTTGGTTACTTCATCAACTCTTCAACTTTCACTTTAATTTAGCTTGTGTTATTGTTCAATGTATTATTGCGATCAGTGAGTTCTCGCTGTTTAAGAATAGCACATATGATTTAGTCAGATTGAACTTATAACTAATTATCATTTCGAACCCTTCAATCTTCAAGCTTTATCTTTTAGAACAGGAAATTGGATCGATTCTCATTTTAGAATTTAAGTCCTGATCTGGTAGTTTACCAAGTACTTGTAACATTGTTCTGATTTCATTTTTTTCTCAATGTTTAACAAAAGCATAATTTTTTCAACAAATCAATTCCAAGGTACGTAATTGTCCTGGTTTCTTGCAAAACCGTCTGTTTTCATTTTTTGGGACATCATTGATTTTGACGATCTTTTAATTTTACCTGGGAATGACATAGAATGTTATGAAATGTGAAGATATAAAAAAGTGCAGCCCTTCTCTTCAGCTTTTTTTGAATGATAGCAGTAGTTATGGAGGCGATAATTGAAATTCAGTCATTACAAAAGTATTTTTAGTGACAGAACTCTACTGGTCCTTTACATCTTATGGACATATAGAAGAATTATAGCCCTGATGAAGAACTCCTTGAGAGTTCGAAACCTTAGCCGCTCAAAGAAACTTATTTACGTTTCCTGCAATGAAAAATTTTTGAATTCATATCGCGTTTTGTGGCCGTTATGGCTGGCAGAAGTTGAGAAAAAGGAAGAATTAGGTACGATTGTAAATTTATTTAGCGTGAAGATATGCTGTTTTTTGAAAATGTGCATATGTATGTAATATGTATGAAAAATACCTGAAGTATTTTTCGTAAATCTTCACACGGAGAGAAAAATTCAATAAAAACTACCAGAAAAAAAACGTAAAAATTACGTTTCGAAATGTAATCCGCGAGCGAATTAAAATTCAATAAAAAGTGTGAGTCGGAACTGAAATTGTACTCATCGCCACGTAAATTCTACGATTTGTTCCGTAAAAATTAACCACCCGTCTGATGACTCACCGCTGTGGGGACAACAACTCGTTCCGTAATTTTTCCTCAACGATTGAGAAATTTTACGGAATGGAACGTAGAAATAACTCACCAGCTTCATAAAAATTGTTGAACGTTCAAGAATTTTTTATTTTGAAGGCATAATAAGTTAATAACAAGGGAAGTTTCTGTAAGATTTTCCTTCTTCGGGGAAAATTACGTGACCATTTCGTACTTTGTTCGGTGATGAACCTGAAAATTCACTGAACGTTTCAGATTTCTTCTCTTCCATTCCTATAAAAATTGCCGGAAAACGATTCCCAGTCGCGGATTAGGTGAATTGTTCCTTAATTTTCACTGAATATTTCTCCCCGTCCCCAAAAAAGGAGTCAGAGGAAAAATCACTATTCATTTCGCATTTGTTCCTCGATATGGAGTCAAAAATATGCCGAACTGCATTTCACTCGACGCGATTACTTAACTTTTTTAGTAATTTTTCCTCAACCTTTTTCCGTGTGTAGATTTCACGATGAGGAAATAAAAAGGTAGAATAAATGAAAAACCTTAGGCGTGTAGACGTTCAAGTACAGGCAGTCCTCATTACCACTGAAGGTATCTTTGATAAAATCCATCTGTGGGCATTGGTTACCTTCTGCTGTTGCTTCGAGAACATGTACCCATGGTTCAGCCTCTTCAGGAGGCTAAAGTCAATCAAGATTCTCATTGAAGAATATAGTCCTCACAATTTTAAACAGAATCTTCAATACTTTCTCCACAATCGTCGACAAATATCGAGAATGAACGTTCAAAATTATCAAAAATTTCAATAGTTTTTCATCAAAAAACTTATTCATCTCCAAGCGATGTAAATCAATCCAGGAAATCATTTCGCTGACACATTTTGGAGAAATAAAAAAACAATCTGAAATTTATATTCACCTGAAATCGAAGATCATTGATCGGTGGTCTAGCATACGGAATTCCCCTGAATGAACCGTAAGGAACTGAATTCATCACTGTCCGCAAGATTTCCCCCACAACAGGTCCTCTATCCGTTTCAATGACTGCGGTCAATTCACATACAACTGCGATCGAAAAATAAGCAACAACAGTCAACAATAAAACGAAGGCCGTGTATTTTCCGAACAATGCCATTGTCCGAAGTAATTATTTCTCAAATGAAGAACTAAATACAACTTTATTATCCTCTTAAAATTGATAAAGAAAAAATTAATGTGCAGGTCTATAAATCCATGCTATCCACGTTTATAAAAGTAGTTGACATATCATCTTTTGAATTCCTTTCAAGAGACTAAATGGCAATTCAAGTATTCAGTACTTCGACCAACGAATGCAATTCCGGCTAATCGTGTAAGCTGGTATTTTATCGGGTGCGCAAGTGGTAATTACCATAACGATAATTTTTTTCCACCCGAATTCATGCGATAACCCTATATATCAAGTTTTTTACTGAAAAGCAGTGCGAATGTATCAAAAATATGAGTTCCATAATTTCACTCCTGTATTTTGATGCCTAAAAAAAGAGATTCCTCTAGTTTCTTAAACGGATATAGATTTCATTTCTAACAAACATGAATTGTATTTCAAATATTCAAATCTATAAAAGATGAAAGTATCGAGAAGTTGTTTTATATTGATCAAAATATCGAAATCTATCGAAAGTGTCCGACCGCTCGTCTGCAATTCTGATTGCACGGAGAGAAATGTTCAGTAAAAATTACGGAACTCACAATTCACTCACCGGTTACGGAATCGACTCAGAAGATTTAAGTGACGGTATCATAATTTTTCACAGGAGATTCAAATGAAAATTACGGAACGCTCCGGAAAAATCCCGTGACAGTTCCGTAAAATTTCCTACATTCACATTTCGCTCTGGAATTACGGAAAAGATACGTAATTTTCATTGAATATTTCTCTCAGTGTGATCAATGAGTCGCGTGAGGTTAGTCGTTAAAAAAATACGCGGTTTTTCAAATTCTCTATATGCAGAAATTATTCTTTGCATCATAATTGTCAATTTTCTTATGATATCTCACACTAAGAAAAAAAAATCTGAAGATTCCAAGAAATACATTAATGAAGGAAATTTATATAGCCTTTCACATCTTTGTGACGTCATAGGAAATGATTGGATGGGATTTGGTTGAGGTAGAAGGGGAACCGGAATTATTCTCAATCTGAATAACCAGAAAATTTTTACTGAAAAAATGGATAGTCCAGACCGGGATTTGAATCCGGGACCTTCCGATTATGCATCGAGTGCTCTGCTTTTTTTTGTTTAACAATTTTTTTATTCAGATAACAAAATTTATTTACAATATTTACATACATAAAAAATAGTTGAAAAAAATTAATGTACAGTATTTAGATTTAATATGTAAATTTATAGCTAATTAGCAGATCTCGAGTTTAAACTTTATTAAGAGAATTTTGATTCTCTATTTTGTTGTTTTTATCTATTAGTAAAATATCCATGGGAAAAAATTTTTTTTAAATTATGCCTATTGTCACATGCGATCGCTATTTGTTTACAACTATTATGCCTAAATAAAATTTAAATGGGTGAGATGCACTAGGTGTTTTTAAAAAAAGACATTAAATTATTGGCATAGAGAAGGGTAATAAAAAAAAAAGATTTTATGATATGCGAACGCTAATTGATTATTATAATAATCATAACAGGGTATCGGTTCGGGTGCTCTGCCAACTGGGCTATCCGGCTCCTAGCCATTGCCTCATTTAAAATTTTTGGTACATATTGAGCTCCGCCGTCCTTCTTACGGCATTCATTTTTTACATTAAAAAAGGAAATCCAAGAGATTTTATAATCATCCGAAAGATGGGGGTAATTGGTTCATATAAAAAAAATAGTTCCCAAATCAATTCAAGTGGTTTTTACATTAAAATATTTTAGAATTGAGATGTGTGGTTGTAGGAAATTTTACGGAGCTGTCACGGAATTTTTCTAGAGCGTTCCGTAATTTTTATCTGAATTTCCTGTGAAAAAATACGATACCTTAATTACGTCACTTAAATTTTCTGAGTCGATTCCGTAATCGGCGAGCGAATTGTGAGTTCCGTAATTTTTACTGAACATTTGTTTCCGTGTGTGATGTTGTTTTCAACGTCAATAAGACATCGACAAAGATATCACCGGAAAAGTTTCTATCACTACTTTCCTGTACTACGATAGAGAAAATCCATTGACTCATTACCTATTCATTGTGACGTCAAAAATCGGAGCATTTGTGGACGTGCAAAGTGCGGAAGTTCAGTCAAACTCCTCAGATGTAATTACAGCCGGAAGATTACAGAGGAAAATGGAATGACTCAATGGCCTGTATAAAATGTCCTGAAATGAATTCTTGACCTCAGTTATCAAGCGTCTACACTCGAGAGAGATTCTCTCACCTACTAATTATATTTTCATTGAATTCCCGTGCATTCAAAAATGTATACTGCATTATATATTGTCCTGCTATTGCCTTCGATATTCATTGGTGAGTCTTTCGAATACTTTATTCTGTAAAAGTTCTAATTTTGAAAATGCGCAGGAACGAATGCTCATGTTCTGAATCCTTGGAGGGGAATTGTTGGAGGAGTCACTGCAAGAGCGGGTGAATTCCCGTACTTCGCCTCGTTGAGAGATGAATATGGACACTTCTGTGGTGGCACCATAATCAGCCCTATACATGTACTCACTGCTGGTCATTGTTTATCCAAACCGGGATCTCGTTTCTACGTTGCAAGTGGATTAACTTGGAGAGACGATTCTAATGCTATTATCAGTGAAGTGAGGTCGTTTCAACTTCACCCCGATTTTGTAGCATATACACCTGGTCGGGGGCTCAAGAATGACGTTGCGGTTATTACAGTAAATAGAACATAATTTTTGTTCTTTATATAATTAAATAATGATTTTTTTATTCTTGATGATTTTTTCGCTCGAACTTCCGTAGCCGAATCTATCACACTGTTTTATTTGAGATATTTCAACCGAAATTAGATATTTCACAGTCCATTTGCTCGTGAATACTTCGCAATCTCTTTCAATTTATTTTTTGTTGACATTCTGCACTGAGATCGGGCAAAATCCGAGCGAAAAGAATAATCTGATAATTATCACTCGTGCATAATTTTTGTTCCTTATATAATTAAATAATGATTTTTTTATTCTTGATGATTTTTTCGCTCGAACTTCCGTAGCCGAATCTATCACACTGTTTTATTTGAGATATTTCAACCGAAATTAGATATTTCACAGTCCATTTGCTCGTGAATACTTCGCAATCTCTTTCAATTTATTTTTTGTTGACATTCTGCACTGAGATCGGGCAAAATCCGAACGAAAAGAATAATCTGATAATTATCACTCGTGCTCCCGAATTTATTGGGTATTTAGTTGAATCTCCTCTGCATAGAAAGGATGTGACAAATCTTGCAAGAAAATTTGGCTCATCGCTCTCTACGCAAAATAATCATCGGTAATACCTAGTAATTTTGCAGCACTTCTACTATTCACGAATGAAAACATTCAATAGAAAACCTAGCGCATTCGCTAGAAAATTCTATTGGAATTCTATGGGAATTCTATTGAAAAATTCTATTCGTTTTTTTCGCTGATTCTATTGCATAGTCAATATAAGAAAAAGTCAATAGATTTCGACTTTCTGTTTGAAATTTTCTCTTGAGATTTTTTCTATAAGACTGGTTGGGCATCAATTTTCTGAGTTTTGTCCACTCGGATTCTGTAATACATAAAACAAAATCCAGCGGAACAAACTTGTAAATTTTGTCCTCAATAATTCTAATAGAAAAAATATCAAGCGAAAAATTCGAACAGAAATTCGAAATCTATTGAATTCTTTCATTCGTATTACTCCTGATTATTTTCATGAATTCTCATCCGTTTATCACTCCAGTCATATCAATTGTTTCCTATTTTCAGTTGAAGAACAAACTCAATCTTGATGGGATTCGATTGAAAGCGCTGAAATTGCCAACTGAAGATTACGTTGACGGATCAATTGGTACGGCCATTGGCTTGGGAAAAATAAATTCAGTCTGGGATAAAGATTACACCAAACTTCCGAATCAACTTCAAAGATTGGATTTGGTAATCAAGGATGAAATCTGCCAGAAATTCGTGACTCAGCCATGGAGAGACATATTGTGCGGAGTGAATCCAAGAGCAACGATATGTGGGGTAAGAAGATGAATATAGAATTTATTATTAATGGTAGCCGTCTGTACGAAAAGAGCGAATTCTGTTAATTGACAATTACACTGAGAAAACAAATTCTAATATCTGAAACATATTTTCCTGAGACAAGCAATTTTTCTTCAATTGTTCGATTCTCCCAGGCATCTCAACTCACGAGGCTCGAAAAACGTCTCATGTTTTAAAATATTCTTGTACTGACGTATGATTTTGTCGCACATGAACTCGGTCAAATCGCGTAGAAGAATCGTCAATCTCCAAGGATTTATTGTTTTCATGATTTTTTGTAATGCAGTTCCAATACTTCGATATGTAATATATCCATGATATAATGCGCAACGATAGTGATAAATAAGAATTTATTTGAGTTCCGTGAACCGTAAACATTTTGAGATTTAAGCCATTGAAAATAAATTAGTTCTCTCAAGTGAATATGGTCTACATATTAGAAAACTTTTCTCTGAGCGTAAAACCCACTACTGCTGCTACTACTGAGCCGAATACTAAATCATACGAAAAATTATGATATTATTGCCGCTAAGTGGACTCTCTTCAAATGGAAATTTACAATTGAAGACAGTCAGCTTTATAATCCACAAACTTATTTTTTTAGGGTGATAGTGGAAGTCCCCTAATCATTAACGATGTTATCGTTGGGATTGCATCAGCTTCTGATTGCGAGGTTGGAGCAGAAGCCTTGTACGTCAATGTGTTCCATTATAAAAAATTTATTGAGAAAGTCATGAAGAGTAGTTACTTTAATTAACGGAGGAAATCATTTTTTGCATTCGATTATTTATCTATTTATGTATTTATTTATTTATTCTATTTATTGTAATCAAATAAATGACTGAGCACTTTATTATTGGTCTGACATTTTTATCTTTTGGTCTATTTCTACTGATTTTAGGAGCATACGTTTATTTTCGGGGGCTCAAGAATGACGTTGCGGTTATTACAGTAAATAGAACATAATTTTTTTTTCCTTATACAATTAAATAATAATTTTTTTTTATCCTTGATGATTTTTCCACTTGGATTTCCGTAGCCGAATCTATCAAACTGTTTTATTTGAGATATTCCAACCGAAAGTAGATATTTCACAGTCCATTTGTTCGTGAATACTTTCCAATCTCTTCGCAATCTTTTTCAATTTATTTTTTGTTGAAATTCTGTACTGAGATCGGAAAAAATCCGAATGAAAAGAATTTGTCTATTTCTACTGATTTTAGGAGCGTATATTTATTTTTAGGGAAAAGTAGGGAAAAATGGACCCCTACGGCATAACGGACCCTGACCGAAAATGGTTAATTCTTCAAAATTCATTTTTCATAAATTCAAAGTCATTTGTGGTTTGAAGTGATTAGCAAATCTGATCAAATTGCGGTTCAACGACACTTCTTGTCTATAAAACCCCTGTGACAGTTACGATTCAAGAAACTCACTTTTAATTCAATACATTCAGTTTTCCTGATTTGAAGGGAAGAAAAAAAAATTATTAATTTTTCTCTCAGTGGTACGTTTTACCCTAACCTCCCCTACAATTGTTCCAATTTTTTTTTCATTTCATTTTTCATTTCATTTTAATATACTCCCCCTTTTTGCCCTATCGCGCCCAAAATCATTTTCCAAAAAGCGGAGAAAGAATGCTCAAATCCAAAAGTGGAAGGAGAACTTTCCACTTCCTGGAAATGGAATCACCCTCTTCAATACCCTCGACGGAAAAGGATCGGTCGTCGAACACCCTGTATAGTTAAAATGAGTAAGAAGGGCATGAATGTATCAACTCCTAAAAAACTGAATTGCAAAATTCCCACTACGAATTATATAAATTTATTCATGAAATTTGGTTCAATGGATAACAATTTTTTTTCAATCAGAGCAGTCTTACTCGTACAATACCGTTATTAGCTCAATCCACAATATCATCAGGTTTAAGTATACAAATTACAGAATTATCGAACTTGATACGTACAATAATGAGTATAAAATATCTTTTAAGGACGGACGCATACTCATAGAACTCAAATTGTGCACACAACCACTCATGTTCATCTGGTCCCTTCAAAATCCTCCCTAGCCTCAAAAGCACATTTTTAAAAAATAGAATTGCCAATTATAGTGGAAAACTCCCTTTCAAAAATTCCCTCGATGAAATATCAAAGAAAAACTACAATTCTTCTGGGAAAATTTTCTTGTTCCTCATCCCCTTTGTCGGCCACCGCATTTTAGTAGGATCGGATTCTGTTTTCAATCAATCATCTGAATCAGACGTATCCTCATCTTCGTTGGACTCGGAATCCGACCCGTACTCGTACTGAAACTCATAACTAGAATTGTAATCATCGTCGTCATCATAAACTCGTTCTCCCCGAGGCCTGCGTGGATGCCTGGCATCATCTGGAGTTTCGACTATCAGCAAAGGGGAGTCATTGTTCGCGATCCAATTGGCGGTGACGGAGGTGTCGACAAACATCTTGAGTGACAAACCGTTGGCTCTGCGCTTTGTAACTTCGTGCGTTTCAAAGAGCACATCGCGAGTAATGCCGGTCCCTATCAAGTTCAAAACACGCAGGTCAGGGGCAATTCTCAGAAGAGTGATGACTTCCCCATTCCTTATGCCCCTACAATGCTCACAACTCAATTCTCTCAGAGTGCGTAATCCGATGAGAGAACCATCTGTGATGAGGCACATGCTGTCCAGACTAAGAACCTTGAGTTCGGGTAATCTCCACAAGTGCATGACCCCGTTATCGTCGATACGGCTGCAGAACGCGAGAACTAGATGCACCAACTTCCGGCAAGTTCTTGATAATGGGTCTAGAAAAGAGTTGTCGACAGCTAAGACATTCTGGAGATTTAGGTACTGCAAATTTGTGAGAGCAGTGATAAAGAATGTTCCACTAATCGTGCAATCGGCGAGGGAGAGGGAGTCGACATTAGCGTTTTGATTTATTATAGTTTCCATTGCATCATCCAGATGAAAACTGCGTATTGTGATGGATGTTAAGTTCTTCAAATTTCGAAGATACTGAAGCAGAAAATGCAGATAATGAGCGGTTAAGATATTTATGCACGGGGAGAAAAGTTCAATAAAAATGACCAAAAAACGTGAAAATTACGTTTCGAAACGTAATCCGCAAGCGAAGTAAAATTCAATAAAAAGTGTGAGTTGGAACTGAAATTGTACGAATCGCCACGTAAATTCTACGATTTATTCCGTAAAAATTAACCACCCGTCTAATGACTCACCGCTGTGGGAAAAACAAGTGGTTCCGTAATTTTTCCCCAACGATTGACAAATTTTACGGAACGGAACGTAGAAATAACTCGTGTCTACAACTCGGGGCTTCAATTGAAAACCCGAGTTGAAGGCCCGAGTTTGTAGCAAAGATGTCAGACAAGATATGCATGTTTATTGGGCTCAAACGAAAGAGCGGGTCAAGAAATGGCGTGCTAGGACCTCTANAATGACTCACCGCTGTGGGAAAAACAAGTGGTTCCGTAATTTTTCCCCAACGATTGACAAATTTTACGGAACGGAACGTAGAAATAACTCGTGTCTACAACTCGGGGCTTCAATTGAAAACCCGAGTTGAAGGCCCGAGTTTGTAGCAAAGATGTCAGACAAGATATGCATGTTTATTGGGCTCAAACGAAAGAGCGGGTCAAGAAATGGCGTGCTAGGACCTCTAAAGATGGTTTTGAACCAGGGGAGACTCATAGACCCCACTGGACAATGTTGTCACAATTGCGCTTTTCAATTGAAAACAGACATCCTTTCGAGAGATTTGTCATCTTTAAAGACTTCTGCACGCCATTTCTCGACCCGCTCTTTCATTTGAGCTCAAAAAAACATTCATATCTTGTCTGACATC